TGTGTCCCTTCCACACACACAAAATTTATATTGTAGTTTTGAAATTCCAATAGTCATAATCTTTATTTCAAATGCACACTACTAGAAAAGTGTCATTTTTTGTGAATTTTTCTGCAAAAAAATATTCGTAGAAAGTTTTTGCGAATTTTTTTGCAAAAAAATATTTGCAGAAATTTTTTGCAAATTTTCCTGCAGAAAAATATACGTAGAAATTTTTTGCGAATTTTCCTGCAAAAAATAATTTATAGATATTTCTTACAAATTTTGCTACAATTTTAATAATCATGGAAAAAAAATTTCATGGTAAAAATTTGTAGAAAGTATGGTAAGAATTTTATTTTGTTTCTTGCAGATTTTCTTGCAAAAATAAATTTGCAAGTAATGTTTATTAAATGGTAGAAAAATTTTGCAGGTAACTTTTCCTGCAAATTTTAATTCGCGGGAAAAATAAAAAAAATATATTTAAATTCATAAGTTTAATATTTTAAAAAAATCTTCAAGTCCCACATCAATTGAAAATAAAATAATTAAAGAATATATAAGTTGGGACAACAGTTACCTTACAAGTTAATTTGTATGGTTGAGTGTTAGGCTTATAATCTATAATCTTAAAATTTAAAAGATTATGTATCACATGCTGGAGGCATGAAAATAAAAAGATTATGAATTCTTAAAATATAGAATTTATAGTAATTTTTTTAACTTTTTCGTAAAAAATATTCCTGCAAAATTTTTTACGAAAAAATTTGCAAGAAAGTTTCCTGCAAATTTTCCTGCTAACTTCTTTTTCCAGGAAAATTTCCTGCAAATTTTTTTTTGCAGGAAATTTTCTTGAGAATTTTTTTCACAAGAAATTTCGTAGAAAAATTTCCTGCGAATTTTAAAATTCGCAAAAATATATTATCCACGAAGGTATTACCTGCAAATAAAATTTCGCAGAAAAATTTGTAGGAACAACGTTTCCTGTGAATTTTTATGAAAAATTTGCAGGAAAAGTCGCATGTAATAACAGAAATTCTAGTAGTGGCATGACAATCTATGAAAAATTGGAATTATTCTTTAGTCATGAATAGTCATTAAATGCTTGTTTTACCTAACTAGTCCCTGACGATACGATTTAAATTTACTACTTGTATAGCCGGTATACTTGCCGTGTTTTGAAATTTCAATAGTCATAATCTTTATTTCAAATGCATGACAATCTATGAAAAATTGGAATTATTCTTTAGTCATGAATAGTCATTAAATACTTGTTTTACCTAACTAGTCCCTGATGATACGATTTAAATTTACTACTTGTATGGCCGGTATACTTGCCATGTTTGAGTCCGTTGATAGAATAAAAATGATTTATAACAAAAACAGAAACTAATGTCAATGGAAATCTCAACATGTAGTTATAATTTATAATTTAAAAAATCATGTCATAATTGATAGTGATAATGAAATGTTGTCATAATTTATAATTAATAAAATAATTTTAAATTATAATTAATTAGAAGTTATTATTAACGATTAGTTTGTAATTAAGATATATTGATTATAATTTAATTTAGCAAATAATGAAAAAATATTTTATTCATCGATAACTTGACATTTTATTTTTATAATTATTTAACATCACTTTGTGCAATGTCTCATCTGATTTCTTTAGCATTGTACATTTCTTGCTCAAAGAAAAAAGAAGTTCGATCTCTTTAACATTGCACATTTCTTACTCAAAGAAAAAAGAAGTTTAGAAGACTTTAAAAGAGAAGAAAATAACATTAGATATTAGATAAAGACTAAAAAATTAAAATATAATTTATAATTAGAATGAAGAAAAATAAGAGGTAACCATTTAAATATCAACTACACGGAGTGAATGAAATCTGAGAAACAATGAATATTACCACCAATTACAACAGAATGCAATACGACACTCAAATTATTTTTATTTTGTTCAATTAAAATTATATAACAAAAAATTATGAAGATTATAAAATAAAATTTAAATAATTCTAAAAATATAGTTTCAAAAAGTAACTTTGAAACTCTTTTAAACAAATAAAAACATACAAATTAAAATAGTGAAGGAAATATGTAAAGATAAAGAAAATTTTCATTTCCATAATTCTCCCAAAGTTTGTAGTTCAACTTCATGCTTCTATCAAAGTATGTTGTTTAATTCCATGTGAGATCTGGTAGTGCGATGTTGTCTCATCCATTAGGGTTCATAGTGTTATCTCATTCATTAACAATCTATAATTTAGATCCATGAGAGTTTTGTGTAATGTTACCCCATCCATAGAGATCTCACAGTGCAAGGTTGCCTTATCCACCAAGAATTCCATACACAACGCTGCCTAATCCATAAGAAATTTGTGCAGTGTTACCCCATTCATAAAGATGTAACGGTGTAAGATTTCCCCATCCACCAAGAATTCCATACACAACGCTACCTTATCCATATAATAAGTTAATAAGACATTTATGAATAAGTTAAAAACGTCGAAAGAGAAAGAAAATAATAGAATAAAAATGAATGACCTCTTATCCTTATCGAGCACGATTTTAACATGAAGAGATTGATGTCGACATCACATTTAGCTAAGGTGAAGGCGGTGGAGAAGAGGAGGATATAAGGTGTTATATTGTGGAGGATGTAGTTGTTGAGGAAGAGGTGGAGCATGACAATGACAATGGTAGGGTTGTTAATCTATCCAAAAGAGAAAGAAAAACAAATAGAAATGCATGACCTCTTATCCTCATGGAGCATAGTCTTAGCAGGAAGAGGTTGATGTCGACATCGTGTTTGGTCAAGGTGAAGGCGATGGAGGAGAAGAGGACACGGGCATCATATGGGTTGAGGAAGAGGTGGAGTGTGATAGCGATAATGATAAGACTATACGCTGCTTAGGAGGCATATGAGAGGCTAGGTTTTCTGAAGTGCATTTGTAGCTAGGTTCTCGGAGTTGATGTGTAGTTAAGTTTACATAAATGGAGATATATTAGAAAAAGGAAGAGATCATAAAATGACATGTCAGCATTTTCGTTGACATGATAACATCTAATAAAGTTTATTTTAAAATGACGTATCGCGTAACATAGAGTAACTCGACTTTTATATTATAAATAATTTGCTTAGGAGGTGCATGAGCAACTAGGTTTTCTGAAGTGGATTTGTAGCTAGGTTTTTAGAAATGGATGTGTAGCTAAGTTTACATAAATGGAGATATATTAGAAAAAGGAAAAGATCATAAAATGACATGTCAGCATTTTCATGACAATACCTAAAATTTATTTTAAAATAACATGTCGTGTGATACAGAATAACTCGACTTTATTGATATTATAAATAGACAGTAAAAAAATAACATTAAAATTTTTGTGAAAAACCTTCTCAAAATGAGTAGGGAAAAACCATGGAATCTAGTCTAATAAAAGATTTTCACTATGAAAGTATGATTACAATTAATATCTCTTTCACAAAAGGATTACTTAAATTATCTCAACCCTTTCAGATGACTATCTTTGATTCAATCCGATGAGATGAAAACAACTCTCTTTCTCTTATGAAGGAATATAACAATGGATTTGAAGGAATCAAGAACCCTTTCTGGGTGGTAACTTCTTCTCGGTGGTGACTCCTTGTTACTCTCTTTGGATGGTGACCAATGGTGACTCCCTTTGAGTGATATCTACTCTCATCACCGGATCCCATTTTATAGTCAATGAAATTATCTTTCATTCGTAACCCTTTATGCATAGTTCGTCTTTCATGGTTTTTTGTTTACAACTTTTTGTTGATGATTAGAAATTTTGGAATAATTTCGTTCGAACATAGGAGATACTAAAATATCGGTTCAAATATGAGGATTCATTTTCCCAATTTACATGCATACAAGAATATGTTAACAGCTTGTTCACAACTTCAACCAACACAGGAACAGATCGTATAAAAAAAAAGCCAATTGGAAGTTGGAACACGTACCTCAAGAATTTGTACGAATCTGTGCCATGAAATGCCAGTTTCATTTCTTAGTTTTTAAAACATTATTTTCTAAATCAATTTTACACGTATCACTCAACAATTAATTTCTTATCCAAAATTAATGCCTATGAAGTTCTGAAAATTATTTTCAAAACAGGAGTTTAATTAAAAAAAAAAAAAACAGATATTGATGTGCTGGGAAATATGAATTCCAATCAGTGAACTTGCATTCTGATTAGATCATATATAATCAGTACATGTTTTGCACGGCAAAACCAGATGATTTTTGAGGGAAAATGTGAATATAACCAATTACATTTCCATCGTACAAAAGAGTGGTTGATGCTACACCTAAAATGGAACTGTAATCAATTAATCAAATTTGGTCTCTGGCCTATTTATACCATCTTGTCAAAAAAATAGTACACTCGCATTATGATTAGATCAATGGGGTTTAGTGGTTTACCCTCCAATCAGTGTACGTTCTTGCATTATGATTTGATCATGAGTACAAATCAGTACATGTTTTGCACGGAAAAAGGGAAATGTGGATCTAATGAAACCGGTTAGCTTTCCTTGGATAGAGATTGGAGAACTTATATATTAAGATATTTCCTTTAAACTACTATTTTTTTTTTATTTGACTCAAATCCAAGGTTTAGGTTAAGGAGAACAAATCTATAATTTATTTGAATCACCTACTTGTTAGAAAATCAGGTAGATTTCTAGTATAAAAAAGTGGTAGAAACTTGCATTAATATCAATTATATTGAAATAATTAATTTTGCCAACCTTCTATGTATGTTCTCAAAAGAATGGCCAGCCTCAAAAATAAAATTAGTGAGGATCATCAACACGTTTTTGCCAACAAGTTTGAGTACACACCGCATGATCCTTTGAATGCACATGTCCCACACTAATTAATAACCATGCCTAAGTTCACCACTGATTCTTCCTGGCGCTTAATTTGATCTATAAATACCCAGTATATTCCAAACTTTTTTCCAACCAACTCAATTGTGAAAAGCAAGAACCTCTTCCAAGTTCTAACCAGCACTGCTTCGATGGCTATTCGTTTGCCAAGTGACTTGAGTGCTAAACACATTCTTCGTCTATCTAATCTGTTTGCAAGTTATGCACTAGATGTGCCTAAAGGGTACTTTGCTGTGTACGTAGGAGAGGGCGAAAAGAAGAGATTTGTGATACCAGTGTCATATTTGAATCACCCTTCATTTCAAGAACTGTTGAGTACGTCAGAGAAAGAATTTGGATTCTGTCATCCGATGGGTTGCCTAACAATTCCATGCACAGAAGACATTTTCCTTAACATCACCTCTGGCTTAAATAGGCTATAAGATGCACCAAAGTAAGTCTGAAGAAAATTTTTATATGGTTGAGAAAAGTTGACCAGTGTAGAAAGGTTACGATGCAATTGTTTTTTCGGATTAAATTGCAATGTATCATAGACAAAGAACAACACTAAGGAGAATGGATTAAAACATGACTAAATTTCATGCTGTTTATTGTCCCCTCTTTTTCTATTTTGTTTTCCTTTCTGTGTAACTTGGTGGTCGCATTTAGATCGCAATTTTCCCACCTTATGGTCTTTATGAAATGGACCTGTTTAAAATGAAGATTTTTTCAAGTAGTTCTTAGGTGTACTTTTTTTAATGATGTTGTTCTTCCATCATTTAAATCGAGTAATTTTGTAGTATTTGTTAACTTGATGTGACAATAAAGTATGACATAGATGGATATAAATTTAAGGATGTGAATGGGGCAGGTAAGGATAATAGTCTCTTTTTATATTTTCTGTTGGATAAATATTTGTTTTGTACTCATTTTTATATCTAATAAGTAGTTCCATAAATTTTCAATATTCACAAATACATGTAAATGTTCGCGAGTATTACTAAAAATAATATCTTAAAAATATTTAACAAAATATTTTAACCATACATTTTATTTATTGTAACAATTTTTTTAAAATTTATAAAATCTACAAAATAAAATTTACATAAAAATTTTGAAGATTATAATTGAAACTCAAATAAAGTCTGCATAAAAAAGTTTGAAGATTTTAAAATTAAAATTTAAATATTCTTTATAAGTGGATATAGAAGTTGAATTTTAAATGTTCAATCACATTAATTTAAAGTTCAAATAATAATTATTAAAATAAAATATTTTGATAACACATAAATCGAAATAAAAGATAATAAAGTATAATATTATTTAATTTTTATAAGTATGAGGACCTAGGTTCAATCTTTATTGCGACCATCTTTGTAATCTTTCCAATCTTTACCAAAAAAAATTATTATAAGTCCAAACAAAATTCAAATTTAAATTCATACAAATCTAAATAAATTACAAAAATCAATAAAATCAGGTTCAAATAAAAAGTGACTAACCAAAATTTCACCAAGACAAATAAAAAAAATAAAATAGTACATTTTATATGAACAATTGACAAGAATATTATTTTTTCTTATTAATTGATTCAATCTACCTAAATTATTCTTGACAATGTTATTATAAAGATCAATAACAGCTTGAAATCAAGTTGAAGAATATTTTCATGAAATTGATGTATTTTATAAGAAAAAGAAATTCCCATAATCTAAGATAAAAATAAGGACAAATTGAATAATGTAAAAGAGAACAAAAATTATATACAAATAAATATTTTAAATGACATATAATTTTTTGGTCAATGGGATACCAATTAAAATACAATAAAGAGATAAATAATTTGAATTCGGAATATAGTAAAATGTTATATTAAATATTAGATATCAAGTTAACAAATGAATTAAATTTCACACAAAAATGGTAGAGGAATCAAATTTGTAAAAAGAAAGTAAATAATGAAAAATCAAATTCAAGAAATAAGAATAGTACGGGAATTAAAAGTGTTGAGCTACAGAGAAGATGCATGCTCTTCCCCTCCCATAATTTACTCCCAAGTCATTGCCACATATGCCTCATGCATTCCTAACAACCACCTTCTATCACTCTTGCAGCCTTGGATCTCCTTTATGCACACCAATGGTATTGCCTTGGATATCTATATACATCTCATAAATTATGTTATTGTCCACGCATTTTTCTTCTTCTCACATTTTGGTCAACCAATATCCGTTAGTTACAACTAATGCACAATTCAAGTAATCAACAGCTTTCGCCCTATAACATATAGTGTAGACCGTGTGATCCTTTAAATGCTTATGTCTCTCACAGTTACGTGCCCAATTCCCTTCACATCAATGACATTTTTCTCCAGCTTCTAGTAGTTCTATCCATAAATACACAACATATATCTTTCTTCCCCCAACCCAATTGAGAGAAATAATTTCCTCAAAGTGCTAATCCATATTATTATTATGGCTGCATTGTTTCCCTACTTTCATTGGTGTTGAACACATTCTCTGCCAACGGGGAATCAAGTAGCAGCAACATTACTTGATGTCCTAAAGGATATTTTGCTGCATATGTAGCAGAGGTTGAAAAAAGGAGGTATTTGGTTTCATTTTTGAATCAGCTCTCTTTTTTATTTTTTACCCCTCATAAACATAATTCACGTTGTATTAAAAAATTAACAACCAAGAACTAATTTACACTCGTAAGATACAGTATGTGCTGATCAAACATTATTTTGCAGTAATCGATTTTAGAAGTATCAGGTTGACCACATGTCCATAGTAGACCTTCTAACCTTCGGATTAAGAGGTTTGGTTAATCAACCCTCATTTCAAGAACTGCTAAGTATAGCCAAGGAAAAATTTGGTTTCAATCATCCAATGACCGTTGCCTTATAATTCCCTGCAAAGAAGATATACTTCCTTAATATTACCTATGCCTTGCATAGACTTTAATGATTAGCTGGCTAAATTAAATCCGAAGATGAAATTTTTTTGTATTCGTTTAACATGGGGATGAGAAAAGTGGCCCCAAGCAAAAGGGTTCTAAATGGTGATAAAATTCCTCTCACAAATCTACTAAAAAATCAGGGAACGAAATTTAGAAACTATTAATTGCATATATGCTATGTTGCATATTATTATTATTTTCATTTTCTCTGTCTTTCTAATGAGAAATAGTTTAATTTGAAGTCAATATATCTCTTTTATTAATGCAGTCTGTTAGTCGAAGCCAATATTACTGCCTCACTTTCACCAAAAATTAGTCTTCATCCTCATTTTTGTCCCTCCTGTGTGTTATCACATGTGGTTGTCAAAATAGTAAATGTTGGCTAACCAAGTTAGTGGATGGCTATCAGCAAGGACTAACCTGACCCACACAATTCAAATTTAGAAACTAATTCAAGGACTACCATAAGTTAACAACGCTTCACAATTTCATTGACGAAAATGAAGTTTACTCTCAAATTATATTTGGTACAAATCAGTCATTTGCTTCTGATAAATTCTAGACTTACAAGCCATGTGAACTTAATTGAAATCTAGCTAAGGTTTTGATGGTGACAGGGAAATAATTCATCATGAAATTGGAATCAATGGACTAGAATTCTGATAAGATAAGTATAATCAGTACATGTGTTGCACGGCAGATGGTTTTTGGGCAGAAATGTGGATCTAACCAATTACATTGGCGTCGTACAACAGAGTGGTTGATACTATACCCTAATCATTTAATCAAATTTTGTCTCTGACCTATTTATACCATCTTGTCAAGAAAAAGTAGACTAACATCATAATTAGATCAATGAGATTGATTCACCTTCCAATCAGTGTACTTGCATTAGATGAGTACTGATCACTAGTATATGTTTTGTTCGGCACATAATCAGATTATGTTTGAGTGAAAATGTGGATCTAATCTAACCAATTAAATTTCCATGGTACAAAATTGGTAGAAACTTTATTTTTGTTGAAATAATTAATTTTGTAATCCAGCTATAGTTCTCTAAAAATTTATCATTTTCTATAATAAATAAACAGTAAAGGTCATCAACACTTTTTTTGTCCGAAAGTTTGAGCACACTGTGTGATCTTTTGAATACATATGTGTAGAAAAATAATAGTGACGAGGTAATACTAATGTTGTGGTAAACATAGCAACTCACTGTATTTTTTATTGAATTAGAGATGGCTTTTAAATAGCCATTTTACAACGTACTGAACTAACAAGAAGATAATAAAATATCTTATCAAATCAAAACTTATCAAAAAAACTATCTTATCTAATATGAAACAAAATAACTCAAAAGATAAATCAAATAATTCCAGATAACTTAAATCGGATATCTCGGATATCTCGGATATCTCAGAATCTCTAGAAATTTAAGATTTTCCAACAAAACTCCCCCATAATCTTAAATTTCTCCTTCTTCTTTCATTTCGATGCCTCTTCCACCAGAGCGCGATACTCCTCCGCGTATCATGGCCCCGCGAGCCACGTGACGTCCAGCACCCCCGGCGCCGCGGTGGTCGATGCCTCTTTTGGGATACAAAAATACCTGTTGTTCTTTGGTCCACCTCTAAACCCAGAAAATACTTCATGATGCCCAAATCGGTCATCTCAAACTCCCTCTTCATCACTTCTTTAAATTCCTCAACTAGCTCAGCTTTGCTTCCCATCTCACTCTTCCCAATTGATCTGATCTCCTCATCCATTTCTTTCTTCCATCTCTCATCAAGTATTGCCTCTTCAAATTTTATGTCTTCTGTTCCTGTCAATAGACATACTACATGTAACTCGTCAGTGGAGTTGTAGATGTCTTGCAAGCTCCGAGTTCTAAGCTGCTCAGGTTCATCATCTTCCTCGGAATGCTCATTGGTCCTATCCGAGCTTCTCCCTATTATCTCTGATCTCTCCCTCTCAGAGTTCGAGCTCCCCGAAGTCTCTTCAGAGTTACTCCAGCTCCACTCGCTTTCCTCATCTACCTGGACATCTCGGCTTACCAGAATTTTTCCTGTAACAGGGTTGTACAATTTGTAGGCTTTTGCCTTTTCATCATACCCGATCAAGATATACTTCTTGCTCCTATCATCAAGCTTCGTTCTGAGCTGAGCTGGAACATGACCGTAAGCAAGGCTTCCGAAGATCTTGAAGTGATGTATACTCGGTTTTTGTCCACTCCATGCTTCTTGAGGTGTCACATCATCCAATTTTGAATGTGGGCACCTGTTCTGTATATATATAGCACACTGCACTGCCTCTGCCCAAAACTTCTCAGGCATATTCTTCCCTTTAAGCATAGCTCGGACCATATCAAGAATAGTCCGATTCTTTCTTTCAGCTACTCCATTTTGTTGTGGTGAATATGGAGCTGTGAGAAAACGTTTTATACCTTGCTCTTCACAGTATTCCATAAACTCTGCCGATGTGAATTCTCCACCTCTGTCCGACCTCAAAGCTTTAATTTGCTTGTTAGTCTCTTTCTCCACCATGACTTTAAACTTTTTAAAAGCTTCAAATGCCTTTGATTTTTCTTGCAAGAAATATACCCAGGTCTTTCGAGAGAAATCATCTATGAAAGAGATGAAATATTTCTTACCACTGAAGGATGCAGGAGAGATTGGTCCACACAAGTCAGTGTGTATCAGGCCAAGTTGCTCCTTTACTTTGTACTCGGACGAGTTCGGAAAACTTGTTCTTGTATGCTTTCCGAGTACACACGCTTCACAAAACTTCTTGTCAAACTCAACACCACGTAGTCCGTGCACCAACTCCTTCCTTGATAGCTCGGCCAAACCTCCAAAGTTCAAATGCCCAAAACGAAAATGCCACATCATGGCTTCATCCTTCACGTCCAGCTTCAAGCACTTATTTTGAAGGATGTTCAGCTCCAGTTTATACATCCGATTCTTTTTCATCTCTACTCGGGCTATTAAACGATCATGTTTGTCCTTCAAATAAAGCACTCGATCCTTCATCAGAACCGAGTTGCCTTTCTCCATCATCTGCCCCATGCTTAAGATGTTGCTCTTAAGTTCGGGAACGTAGTAGACATTTCTTATTTCTCCAACTCGTCCATCCTTCTGCATAAACTTGATGGTTCCATGCCCTTTTACCGCAACCTTGGAATCATCTCCAAATGACACGAATCCAGCCTTCACCTTGATGAGTTCGTTGAAGAAACTCTCTTCTCCACACATATGATTGCTCGCCCCAGTGTCCAAATACCAGACCGAGTTGTTTAAGCAACTCGAATCAAGCTCGGCTTCTGACTTCTCATCTGAGCTTGGAAGCTCAACTACTGATCTCTCCACGCAACTCAAGTTTAGCTCATCCTCGGAGGCACAACTCGGACGTAGCTTGGTCTCCGAGCTCTGCGTCATCATCAAAATTCCTGCTTCCTCGTCCTCTTCTTCTGTGAGAAGATTCTTCTCTTTCTCTTCACTTCGGCTTTTAGCTCGGCAATACTTTGCTATGTGACCGTATTTGCCACAGTTGTAGCAATTTGCCGATCTGCATTCTTTTGCGTAGTGGCCGAGTTTGCCACACTTATAACATTCCACCTCGGACCTCGGCTGACTTCCTTGGCTACGATCACCTCGTCCTTGTCCACCTCCATGATCACCTCGTCCTCTACCTCGTCCTTGATCACCTCCATGATCACCTCGTCCTTTGCCTCGTCCTCCATGATCACCTCGTCCTTTGCCTCCTAATGTTCGGCCCTGGGTGTTCCGAGTTTCATTCAAATTAAGTTGCGCCTGTAATGCTTGATCAAGTGTATTCTTCATCTTCCTCCTCCTTTGTTCGTGGGCTTCGAGTGACCCAGCGAGCTCTTCCACTGAGAGGACTGACAAGTCCTTTGACTCCTCAATTACGCATGCAATACTCTCGAAATCATCTGTTAATGATCTCAAGATTTTCTCCACAATTCTACTTGCTGGCATTGACTCCCCATTCCTTCCGAGTTGGTTAGCCACCTTCTCCACCCGAGTTATGTACTCGGATACTTGTTCCTTATCCTCCATCTTCAAACACTCAAACTCTCCTCGGAGAGTTTGAAGTCGGATCTGTCTGACACAGTGGTTACCTCTGTGCGCAACCTCCAAGATCTTCCATGCTTCCTTTGAAGATGCAGCGTTTGCAATCTTCTCGAAGCCTGACTCATCCACGACATTGTATAAAAAATACAAAGCCGATTTGTCATTCACTCGTGTCTTTTCCAATGTGGCAATCTGAGCCACAGATTGGTCTTCGTCCTCCTCGGGTTCTCGGTACCCCTTCTCTACTATGTCCCATAGACTTTGGGAACCCAATAGGGTCTTCATCTGTAAACACCAATTATCATAATTGATTTTCTTTGACAGTTGTGGTACGGTCATTCCATTTACAACCTTTGCCATTACTCTCTCTTTCTTCTTTCTTCCTCCTTCACAGGCGCACACTGTTTTCCTCTCACACTCGGCACTCAGAGCATAAAGCTCTGATACCAATTTGTAGAAAAATAATAGAGACGAGGTAATACTAATGTTGTGGTGAATGTAGCAACTCACTGTATTTTTTATTGAATAAGAGATGACCTTTAAATAGCCATTTTACAACGTACTGAACTAACAAGAAGATAATAAAATATCTTATCAAATCAAAACTTATCAAAAAAACTATCTTATCTAATCTGAAACAAAATAACTCAAAAGATAAATCAAATAATTCCAGATAACTTAAATCGGATATCTCGGATATCTCGGATATCTCGGAATCTCTAGAAATTTAAGATTTTTCAACAATATGCCCCACACAAATAAACCATGTCTACTTTCACCGCTGATTCTTCCTCGCGCTTTCGTCTATAAATATACAGCATGTGCTAAACATTTTTCACTCAACTCAACTGTGATAAACAATAGCCACTTCCAAGTTCTAAGCAATACTACTGGAATGGCTATTCGTTTGCCTTGTGTTTTGAGTGCTAAACACATTCTTCGTCGATCTAACCTGTTTGTAAATCATGCAGCTGCAACATCACTGGATGTGCCTAAAGGGCACTTTGCAGTGTATGTAGGAAAAGGTGAAAAGAAGAGATTTGTGATACCAGTGTCATTGTTGAATCAACCTTCATTTCAAGAACTGTTAGGTATAGCTGAGGCTGAATTTGGCTTCACTCATCCAATGGGTGGCCTTACTATTCCATGCACAGAAGACATTTTCCTTAACATCACCTCTGGCTTACGTAGTATGAACACGCAGCTAAAGTAAATCTGAAGACAGTTTTTGTTTTATGATGTTTGCCTTTCAACATGGAGTTCATTAAAGATGACCATGCAGAAAGGTTTACTATGCTATTGGATTTTCAGATTATATTGCAAGTGTATCGTAGGCAAAGAACATCACTCAAAAAGGATTAAAAACATGACTATATCCTATGTTTATTGTCTTTTAGCCCTTTGCTTTTTGGTTCTTTCCGAGTGAACTTTATATCAAGTATAGTTTGTAAAATTGTTGTCGTTGTAAAAAAAAAAAAAAAAAAGGATTGTGGACCAAACCAACCAAAATATCCATTGTTGAACTGTCAAATTTTCATCTTTGTAAAATACCAAGCATGGTATATCTTTTTGTGTTTATGAATTGTAAAGGGGCACTTCATTGATTGAGTGACAAACTAAACTAGTCAATTGAATTAAAATGTGAAAAATACATTTTTAATTTAAGAGACATCCTGTTTGATACGAAAATAAATTGCATAAACGCCTATACATGAAACTCTGCCCTTAATTTCTTTCAAATACTCTTTTTTATTTTTATTTCTATAACCTTCAAATAATAAATACAATACGTCCACATATATTCATGTAGTTTCGTACCATATTCTCTCACACCAAATAGCGAAACTCTTAAATCTTAATTTTAATTCTCGATGAAATAATAACAGGGGAAAGAAGCTCAGCTAGGCACTACACAGTAACGTTACGTGGCTGAACGCTGAATAGATGGTGAGATGGTTGCAGTTTTCCCTGTGTGAATGTGATATATATACTGATATGGGCTAAAAGCTTTTTGGATACATTTTAGATATGTATATATCTACAAGTATTTAATAAATATCTTGAAAGTATCCCGAAAAAAATAAATAAATAATAATTAAATAAAATATTGGATACTTTTCAAATATGTATTTGAAAGTAACAAAGGAGCATAGTATAATGTACAACACCCACGATGTTCCCTTGGATACCTATTCAAATCTTATGGTCACAGCCTTCTCTTTTAAGCACACCAACAATGTTCCCTTGGATACCTATTCAAATCTTATGGTCTTAAAATAGCATACATGCTTGTTAATCCATGAATCGACCAGAGGCCTCCGCATATACATCTCATAATTTGTCATATTGTCACCTATTTTTTCTTTCCCATTGCTGCAAGAACTATTATAAAAAATAAAAAAATAAAAATTTAAAAAAGTTATTAACTGATAAAATAATACCAGTGAACAAAAGTCAGAATTCATTGGTTGTTTGCTCACACGTTTCATCAAGTTATTATGCTTATTTTTCATTTTTGTCTTTAATTTCAAAGGAAATAGATGAATATGAAGCCAATTTTTTCTTTTGATTTATTAATGAAGATTCTGTAGCAAAATTGCTATTCTTAAATTCCTTTTAGAAGGATTATACAAGCCAAACCCAGGATAGAGTAAAATCTTATTTGGCCAAACAATTTTGTTAATGATAAAAGGCATAAATTTGGGAGCAAATAAACAATGAATGGTTGAGATTATCATTTAATGAGTAATAGCATATTATACACCTTCACACACAAGATCAAAATTTCCGAATTTTTTTACTAAAATTATTTTTTTTTAAATTACCCAAAAGAGAAAACACGTGTTACGATGCACTGACACAACTGCTATTCACTTTCGGAACGGGCCGTTCGGAAATCAGAACGAGCTGTTCCACATGAAAAAATAATATATGAATATTGGATCAGAACGGGCCGTTACAGATGAAAAACAAAACACATGACGAATGGAACGGAACGGCCTGTTCCAAAATCAGAACGGTCCGTTCCAAACTCAAACATAACACATGACTCATTAAACCAGAACGGGCCGTTATAAATTCGGAACGGCCAGTTCTAACTACAAATTTGTCAAACGAATTTTTTTAAGCAAAATAATATTTTTTTTTTCATTCTACTAAATTACATCTAAACCCTAAACCCTAAACCCAAAAAGTCTTATACTAAGGCCCATAATACAAGATCAAACAATATAAACTCCTATACTACCAAAAATATGAGAAAGGTGGCCATCCATGTAAAGTCCAAGTAAAGAGAATCCTAGGCCTACCAAATCAATTGGGCTCACTGAGCTCAGAAGTAGTCAAAAGCCTAAAGGCCATGAAGTCCAAAACTAGGTCCAATAAACTTAAAACCCAAAAAGTTTTATACTGAGGCCCATAATACAAGACCAAACAATATAAATTCCTATACTACCAAATATATGAAAAAGATGGTCATCCATGTAAAGCCCAAGTAAAAAGAATCCTAGGCCCACCAAACCCATTGGGCTCACTAACCTCATAAGCAATCAAAAGCCCAAAGGCCCATAAAGCCCAAAACTAGGCCCAATGAACTTAAAACCCAAAAGTCTTATACTAAGGCCCATAATACAAGACCAAACAATATATAAACTACTATACTACCAAAAATATGAGAAAGGTGGTCATCCATGTAAAGCCTAAGTTAAGAGAACCCTAGACCCACCAAACCCATTGGGCTAACTAAGCTCAGAAGCTGTCAAAAGCCCAAAGGCCCATGAAGTCCAAAACTAGGCCCAATAAACTTAAAACCCAAAAAGTCTTATACTAAAGTCCATAATACAAGACCAAACAATATAAACTCCTATACTACCAAATATATGAGAAAGGTGGTCATCCATGTAAAGCCCAATAAAGAGAACCCTAGACCCACTAAACCCATTGGGCTCACTAAGCTCAGAAGCAAATAAAAGCTCAAAGTCCCATGAAGCCCAAAACTAGGCCCAATAAGCTTAAAACCCAAAAAATCATCCTTGGCTGTTGTAGCTCGGATTCTTCATCTGAGAGCTCGGTCGTAGTTATTGTTGAAGGTACAACAATGTCCGAGCTGGTTTCTTCTTCGGCCGAGTTACTCCAACACCATTGCTTTGTTTCCTCCACGTGAACATCTCGGCTCACCACCACCTTTTTGTTATCAGGATCAAATAACTTGTATGCTTTGGATTTTTCATCATATCCAATAAATATATACTTCTTGCTTCGATCTTCTAACTTTGTCCTCTGCTGTCTTGGTACTTGCCCATAGGCCAAGCTACCGAACACCCTAAGATGAGAAACACTTGGCTTCATGCCACTCCAGATCTCCTGAGGCGTCTTCTCTCCTAGCTTTGCATGTGGACATCTATTTTGCACATAGATTGCACACTGCACTGCCTCTGCCCAAAACTTCTTCGGCATATTCTTCCCTTTCAACATAGATCGAACCATATCAAGAATAGTTCGGTTCTTCCGTTCCGCTACACCAGGTCGGCTCAGGTCGGCTCACTCTCACCTCACGCACACAAGCTCTGATACCAATTTGTTAATGATAAAAGGCATAAATTTGGGAGCAAATAAACTCTCTGTATATTCTCTTTTTTGTTGCAAATGAAATTACACTTATTTGTAGTTGAAAGAAAAACACAACGTTTACATCTTTAAATGTCTCTCATAATTCACACCATTAATATTATTAAAACAAAATAAAACTCCTAATTTAAGTTTCATAACAAATTTGACCTAAACAGATAGCCACTAGAGAAACTGAGTGCCAGAAGTGACAGCAGTTCCTCAACAACACTTAGCTATTTGTCTCATTTCATTAATCAATTCAGTTTAGAGTGATTAGTGCAGTTTGGTAGTCTTAATAGTTATATGTTATTAGTCAGTACACAATACTTTTCATTCTTCTCCCAATTTATCAGTTCAATACCAGGGATCTATTTTCCCCATGAAAAGCCATACAATCTGAGCAGCTTGTTCACAACTTCAACTGACACAGGAACAGATCAACAAAACCCATTTGTAAGTTGGAACAGATCACCTTCACTATTTTACCTCTTCTCTTTATTTCAAAGGGATTAGTAATTATTAATGGAGAACAGTTAATAACAGAAATTAAGGGTGAAGGGCCCAAAATTATTACTATGACAGCAATTACTATCCTGAACACAAATTAATTGGTTTTTCCCCGTTAATTTGCATTGTTAGTGATCCTTCTGGTTTATAATCTTTTTTTAAAATTCCATTGAAACTTAAATGACTGGGGAGCACCTAAAAATGAGTCAATCACTCAATTGTCTTTAGTAAATCCAATAGTAAAAGCAGTTTGAATTTAATTTGAATCTAGTTCAGTTTTATGGTGACTAGAAAATAAATGATCATGGAATTCCAATCTTTGGACTTGCGTTCTGATTAGATCAGTATAATCAGTACATGTTTTTGAGGGAAAATCTGAATCTGGATCTAACCAATTAAACTTCCATCGTACAAAAGAGTGGTTGATACTTGATACTATACTCATTTAATCAAATTTGGCCTTTGGCCCATTTAAACCATCTTGTCAAGAAAAAGTAGACTCACGTTATGATTAGATCAATGGGGTTTACCTTTCAATCAGTGGACTTGCATTAAGATTAGATAAGTCCAAAAAAATAAGATGATATTTGAAGGGAAATGTGGATCTAATTTAACCAATTAGATCTCCACCGTACAAAGAGGTAGAAACTTGCACTTATATCATCTATGTTGAAATAATTAATTTGTGAGCCATCTACATGTGGTCAACCTCCGCAATAAATAAGAAGTGAAGGTCTTACACGTTTTCGCCAATAAGTTTGAGTACACACTGCGTGTTCTTTTGAATGCATATGTCCCACACTAATAAACCATATGTCTACACTCACCACGGATTCTTCCTCACGCTTTCATCTATAAATACAAAGCTTATCCTAAACTTTTCTCATCCAACTCAATTGTGAAACACAATAACCTCTTTCAAACGTTTCTAAGTCTAACCAATACTACTGATATGGCTATTCGTTTGCCTAGTGTTTTGAGTGCTAAACACATTCTTCGCCGATCTAATCTGTTTGCAAATCATGCAGCTGCAGCATCACTGGATGTGCCTAAAGGGCACTTTGCTGTGTACGTAGGAGAGGGAAAAATGAAGAGATTTGTGATACCAGTGTCATTGTTGAATCAGCCTTCGTTTCAAGAACTGCTAAGTATAGCGGAGGAAGAATTTGGCTTCAGTAATCCAATGGGTGGCCTCATAATTCCCTGCACGGAAGAAATTTTCGTTAACATCACCTCTGGTTTACATAGGCTATGAAATGCAGCCAAAGTAAATCTGAAGAAAGTTTTTGTTTCATGGTTTTTGCCTTTCAACATGTGGTGTTGAGAAAAAGTTTACCCATGCCGAAAGGTTTTGCTATGCAATTGTAATATTGTATCATAGGCAATGAACATCAATACAAAAAATGGATAAAAAAACTTGACTATATTCCATGTTGTTTACAGTTCTACCCCCTTCTTTTACCCTTTTTTCTGTTTTTTACTACTGATATTTAACTAGGTACTAATCTGGTATTGAAAGTAACTTTGATATCCCTAAGGAGGCTAAAGTATATAGCTTGTATAATTGTTATTGTTTGTTGTTGTAAGAAAATACAATAGATCGAGGATCAAACCTACCAAATCAATTGTTAATAAGGCATGATATATGGTTTTCCATGTTTAGGAATCGTGAAGGGGTAATTCAATAATTGAGTAGCAAACTAAACTAGTCAATTGAATTAAAATGTGAAAATTTCCTTTGAATTTATTTATTGATGAAAAAATAATAGGGGCAAGAAGCCCACCGTGACTAAGCACTAATGACTAGACAGTACTATCATATTTTTTTTCGTTCCTGGAGTATCCACCGTCGATAGCAGTGACTAATCTCCTCGCTACGTTAGAGGCACCTTAAAAGGTAGGATAGTTGGTCCCAAGATTTAACGCGGCTGCATACACAAGGAAGGATTCGAACCCCTGACCTTACATAAGCGTGGATCAATCCCTACCGCTGAACCACACGCTTGGGCTTACTAGGCGCGGATACCCCACTCCACTCAAATGAATGAAGTACGTAGGATCCGGGAAGCTTCCTCTCCTATTAACGGAACACAGTTAACATCACCAAAATTACAGGTGAAGGACCCAAAATCTTTTCTGTAACAACATTTAATGTCTATTCAGAATTCTCACTTGGTTTCTTCCCATTTTTCTTACTGTTAGTGGTCCTTGTAATCCTTTTTTCCAAATTGCATTAAAACTTAGACAACTAGGGAGCAAATTGCAACTATATTTTGGCAAAAAAAACCAATAGGCTTACAGTACTGCCAAGTTCCTCTTTCGTCTGGAATACTTTTTATCTACATCTGCAATCTGACCAATACAAGTAGCATATTAGGGTTTAGTCGGAAAAAGAATAAAAATGACATGATTTAAATACCTTTTTGGTTTTTAATTAATTTTAACTTTTAAACTCTATAATTAAAAATATTTTATTTTAATTCATGTATATATATATATATATATATATATATTATTTCTTTTTAATTTTTTATAGTTCCATAAATTTTATTTTTTAATTTATATAATAATAAACAACGAGAATTAAAAGGGAAAAAAATAATGTATATATATACTAAAATGTAACATAAAAATTAAAAGATAAAATTCATAAAATTTTGAAAATCAAAAAGATATTTAAACTAAATATCATGAGATAGGAAGGAAAGGATGAACTTTCAACTTTCAAGTGAAGCCATATAAATGAGTCAATTGCCTTCATAAAACCAGTTGAAAGCAGTTGAATGTAGTTCCAATTTGAACGTTGACAAAGAAATAAATTATCATGAAATTCCAAACCGTGGACTTGCATTCTTATTGGATCAGTACAATCAAATATTCAGATGGCATTTGAGCAGAAATGTGAATCTAATCAACTAAATTTCCATCGTACAATGGAGTGGTTTTTTTTTTTTTTTGGTCAACAAGGGGGGTTAAAACCCCAAAACATGGAGTGGTTAATACTATACCCAAATGGAAGTCTAATCAAAGTTAGTCACTGGCCCGATTATATCTTGTCAAGAAATAGTAGAGTCGCATTATGGTTAGATCAATGGTGTGTTAACCTTCAAATTCGTGAACTTGCATTATGAGTTTATGACCTGGTAGAAATCAATATATGTTATTGCACAGCTAATAATTAATCAGATTATATTAATTTGAGGCCAAAAGTTGATCTTATATATCTAACCAATTAGGTTTCCACCGTACAAAAAGATCAGTGGTATGAACATGTTACATGCACTTACATCATCTTGTCAACAAACAGTGAACACCCGTGTTTATAGAAGTGAGGGTGATATATAATATTGACACCTCTTATGTAAATCATACATTTCTTCCACATTTATTGTTTTTTTATTTCTATCATTTTATCGCCTATCATACCTGCAATTTTATTCTATTATTTCTTTATCTCTCTAAGTGTCTACTTAGAATTTGATGTCCACCAATAATTTTCCTTTAGAAGTTGAACACTCAGACCGACCAAAACAAAACATGAATAGAGAATCCTATCCTGGATCTTTCTCAAGTCCCTTAAAATTGACCAGAAAGTTTGCTATCTATGTTAAATTAATTTTCTAAGCCACCTGTAGGTGTTTCTTGCCAATAAATAAGAAGTGAGGGTCATCAGCGCGTATGTTGCCAATAAGATTGAGTACACACCGCGTGATCTTTTGAATGCATATGCCCCACACTAATAAAATCCATGTCTAATTTCGACGCTGATTCTTCCTTATGCTTTCATCTATAAATACACAGCATACACTAACCCTTTTCCACCCAACTCAATTGTGAAAATTAAGCAATAACGTCTTCCAAGTTCTAACCAATAATATTACTTCGATGGCTATTCGTTTGCCAAGTGTTCTTCGCCGATCTAATCTGTTTGCAAATCATGCACTAGATGTGCCTAAAGGGTACTTTGCTGTGTATGTAGGAGAGGGTGAAAAGAAGAGATTTGTGATACCAGTGTCATTGTTGAATCAGCCTTCATTTCAAGAACTGCTAAGTATAGCCGAGGAAGAATTTGGCTTCACTCATCCAATGGGAGGCCTTACTATTCCATGCACAGAAGACGTTTTTATTAACATCACCTCTGGCTTACATAGGCTATGACATGCATGATGCAACCAAAGTAATTCTAATAACAGTTTTTGTTTCATGGTTTTTGCCTTTCAACATAGGGTTGAGAAAAGTTGACCCATGCAGAAAGGTTTACTATGTAATTGGCTTTTCATATTATGTCGCAACTTGCAAGTGTATCATAGGCAAATAACATAAATGGATAAAAATATGACTATTTTCCACGTTGTTATTATTTTTCCCCCTCTTCTTTTGATTCTTTCTTTGAGAACTTGAAGCCTGTAATCCTCCACTGCTGATAACTATCTAGGTACTAATCTGGAGTCGAAAGTAACTGTGATGGCCTTGAGGAGGTTAAAGTACAGTTTATAGAATTGTTTTGGTACAAATAAGCCAAAGATTAGTGGGAATGTGTTTTATTCCACCCACCCTCACAAAATATTTAAGACGGGCTATTTATCGGTTTAATAAGTATATATGAGAAGAGGAAAAGATCCTTTAACAATTAAGATGATTCATCCAAGGAAAACAATTAACATCATTTTATTTCTAGCCCAATGTTAGAACGGATTAAGTTGCCCTTTCTGTTACCCGATTAAATAATAACAATAACTCAGATTTGAACCCATCTTCGAATTGCCTGTTTAATAGTATTTGTTTTTGCCCTAACATATATGTCCCGGTGTCATCCCCAAGAAGACAATAAAAAAAAAATGTAATCCTCACAAAATGCGGGAGTAGTGATATATCATATATCTTCTTCCTAAGTGAAATTAATTTAATATTAATAACTTAAACATAAATTTAAGATATATTTATTTTTAATTTCATAAATTTAAAATTAATTTTTTTAGTCATATAATTCAAAAAATCTTGTTTTAGTTCTTATATTCAAATTTTATCAAAAAATTTGTTAAATATTATCACATAAAATCTACCTAATAATATTTTTATTAATAAAAATATTACATCAAACGTAGTTGATAATATATATATATATATATATATCTTAATCTATCATTTTTAAATATGTTATTAGTAACATGTAGAATTAAAACAAGATTTTGAAAAATTACTAAAACTAAAAATAATAATTTTAAATTTAAAGAATAAAAAATTAATATCCTAAATTTAAGAAAATAAAACTACATTTAAAAGAATAAAAATAAATTTAAATTTTAAAATAGTCGTTCGACATATTACTAAAAACAAATAAATAAATAATCACAATACAAAGAAAATATTCTATCTTAGTCATCTATTTATTTTAATAATTTATCTAACGATTATTATTATTATTATTATTATTATTATTTTCTTTCTCTATTTTTCTGTTCCTTTCTTTTCACTCACTCGTGCTTCAAAGACACTGCTTAGTGCTTACAAAGATCTTCATTTTCAGAGAAAGGATGAATGAGCATTATGTGTCCTGAATCTCAACTATATAGTAGTCGCACGTTAACAAACACGACTCTGCTTGATTCCATTTTAATTTTCTTACATGTCAAAGTGGAACGTATTTGAGTTTTTGCAGCAATCTCGTGTAAGTGGCAATGTCTCAGGCATTAAGAAACTCCATGCTCAGCTACTCAAAACAGGCATGCTCTTCCTCTCTCATCATCTCCACACCCAACTCATTGCGACATATGCGTCAACCCTCCCTAACCTTAACACCCTTCACTCACTAAACAATTTCTTCAAATGCATGAACTCCACCAACCCATTACACTTCAACGCCATAATATCTGATTTACGCCGCAAAGGTTTCCCCTTTCTCGCTCTAGCGTCCCTCTCCTTCATGCACACCAACGCTGTCCCCTTGGATACCTACTCTTTGTGCAGCACGTTGACCGCTTCCTCCAAAGTCAAAGATCTTGATTTTGGTAAGCAGATACACGCCCACGTGGCAAAATCAGGTTGGGCTTCTAGTGTCTTTCTGGGTAGTGCTCTCATTGATTTGTACTCCAAATTGTCGAATGTAAGAGATGCAACCCTTGTGTTCGATGAAATTCCTGAGAAGAACACTGTGTGTGCCAATGCACTTTTGAAGGGTTATGGCGAGGCCGGGCTGTGGGTTCAGAAACTTGAACTAGTTAGGAAGATGCACGTGTTGAAATTGAAGCATGATCACTTTACTCTATCAGCGGCTTTGCGTGCTTGCACTGGATTATCTGCTGTTGAAATGGGTAGGCAAGTGCATGGTTACTTGCTCCGTACGACACCTGATGTAGAGAGCGATGTGTTTCTCCAGAGCGCGTTGATTGAGATGTATGGCAAGTGTGGAATGGTGATAAAGGCTTGGCAAGTGTTCAAGTTGGTTGGGATGGAGATTAGAAAAGAAGTAAGAAGCAGAGATGTTGTGTTATGGACTTCAATGCTTGGTGTGTATGGTAGGAATGGGCATTCCAAGGAAGTGATTGATTTGTATAATGAGATGTTGGTTGAAGGAATCAGACCGGATGGAATAGCATTCCTGACAGTGATCTCAGCGTGTGGTCGCACTGGCCAAGTTCAAGAGGGTGTCAAGTATTTTGAGTCTATGGCTAATGAGTTCAAGTTAGATCCTGGTCCAGAACACTATAGCTGCCTAGTTGATTTACTATGTAGGGCTGGTGAATTGAAGAAGGCGTGGGAATTGCTGAATAAGACATTGAAAAAGGGAATGGGAAAGGGTAGTGTGTCAATGTGGGGGGCTCTACTGAGTGCTTGTGTGGATCGTGGGGATATAGAACTGGGGAAATTGGCAGCTGAGAGGGCTCTTGAGTTGGATCCTCAAAATGTTGGGATATGCATTATGCTGTCAAATCTGTATGCCCGTTTTGGTATGTGGGAGGAAATTGGACACTTGAGGGTATTGATCAATGCAAGTGGGCTAAGAAAAGATGTTGGATGCAGTTGGGTCCAGGTTACTAGTTGAATGTGTCTCAACTTTCAAGTGGGATGTGATCCTATATGATTGTTGCATCGTGTAATAAGGAGAGACAAAAACACAGAATTCAATTCAAGTATTTAAAATCTTGATGACGGGTTTTTGCTCCAAATTCTGAAGATGCGATTCATCACCAGTCACAACAAGAAAGTGATTTTGCTCTAAAATTATTAAAAACATGTTGATATAAATTATAAATTACATTTACAACCACGAACGTGATTTTGCAGGTTCCAAACATTGATCTCACCACACCGTTGCGTTGGTATATATTTGAATTATAAAAAAAAAAATTTAGAAGACTAAATTTACTATTCCAAAAAGAATTTTATGCAATTATGTAAAATAATACATTTCTGAAAAGTATTTTTTGAAATAGAAAAATTAATGTTCTAGAAAGTATTTTCTAAAAGTGTGTTATTTTATATAATTTTGAAAAGTTCTTTTTGGAACAGTAAATTTAGTATGCTGAAAAGTACTTTCTGAAAATATTTTAAAAATACAATTTTATTAAATATTTTCTAGAACATTAATTTCACAATTCCAAAAAATATTTTCTAGAACACTAAAATTATTTGATATGTTTTCTAGATATGCAAATAGGGAAAAGTGTTCGAAGAAAAAACACAAATTTGGCTCGATACCTACAACATGTCGAGGAAGTCAAATATGTCTATAACGTTGTTGAAAACTAATTATGCGTCTCAGGTGTGTGTGTGTGTAAAAATTAAAAGAGAAGGGAGAGAGAGTGATAATGTGAAAGTTGAAAGGAGAGAGGGGGAAAAGTAATGTGAAAATCAAAAAATTTAAAATTACTTACTGAAATAGATAAGGAGTGGGAGAAGATAAGAGATGCATACAGAAAAGAAGAAGAAAGTGTTGGGTATTGGGCTCTCTTCCTATGTGGAGAAAAGGCCCAAAATTGAGAAGTTCACTTGATGTCTCACTTAATTAAGTGGAGAGAGAGTCTGAAGCGAGTAAGAGAAAAAGAGGGAAAGTCAGAAGTCACTTAGAGCACAAGCACTTTGAGAGAGAGGAAGAGAGAAAGTCATTCTCGTTTTTACACAGAGCTGGGACAGTAAAATCAGTACTGCGAATTCGTTCACCGTTGGATCGGGCTAAAAATTGGACAGCAAGTTCGTGACATCCGATTCTTCATTCTGACCGGTTGGATCGTTGAAACAAGGTCTGAGTATGGAGATATTCAGTTTGCACTGTAGCTGTGTATTTGGAGTTTTTCATCTTCTTTGTTCTCTATTTGTAAGCTTTATTGCTTTGTTGTTTGACTGGGTGTTAGCACTATTCTGTGCAGTAGACTGAGACTCTTTTTGTACTCTTTGTTGATCATAGTAGAGCTATTTTTTTTGTCTGGACGACTCGTGATTTTTACCCTTACTTTGAGGGGTTTTCCACGTTAAAAATCTTGGTGTTTATGTGTGTGATTTTTTGTGATTTATTATTATTGTTCATTGGTTGTTGCTCCTCAGATTCTTGCAAGTTTAGGGAATTTATTTCCGCTACGATAATTGTTTGAATTTGCTCTGTATTGTTATTATGTTGCTGTTTCCCCGTCAGAAAGTACTAGATCGTTACAGGTATAAAACTTAAAGACAAATTAAAAGATTAAAGATATTTTAGGATTTTTTTTTTTAAATTGTGTACTCATAAAAAAAATGTATATATCATTGCCGAATTATATGATAGCCCAGCCTGACAGCAAAACATGCTCAACGAAAGAAAAAAGGGTGATCCTCCTATTTTTTATAAATACACTTCCAATCTCTTTTTTTAAAATAAAATTTCTAAAATATCTTTTTAACTAAATATGATTATGTTGATGGAAATATTAATTTTAGCATTTCGGAAAGTATTCTTCAGAATAGTAAAATTATTGTTTCGGAAAGCATTTTCCGGAAGTATGTTTCTTATATAATTCCATAAAGTTCTTTCCGGAACATTAAATTTAATATTCCATAAAATATTTTCCAAAATTATGTAACAAGCACACTTCCGAAAAATACTTTCCAGAATAAAAAATTTACTATTCCTAAATATACTTTCTGGAACAAAAGCTTTATTATTCCGGAAAACACTTTTCATAACAAATAGTGAGAAGAATTACTTAGAGGAAAAAATGCATATGGTTTGACACCTTTCCCTTTGATACTGAACCCGCTTACAACTTATAACAAAACTAAAAAGGGAAGAGGATAATGCAGAAAATAAAAAGGGAAGAAGGGAAGATATGGAGGTGCGGAGAAAAAAGTAAAGAAGAAGAAACGGGGTGCATAAAAAAAAAAGAA